GTATTCAATTAAAAAACATTAAGGTGCTGTGTAGACATCTAAAGCACAGATAATGTGAGATAAGCTAGTTCTTAAAAAATGGAAACTATCCATGGTCAGTGTGAATGATCCCAGTTACACTAGCCCGTCATTCTCTGTTGCCACCAGTTGGTTGTGATGGCTGAGAATTAACAGGTTAAAGCAACTGCTATGTTATTGTGTAGCTATTGCGATGTTAGATACAATGAGAGATAGAGAATCACCCTAGAACATTCAGCCGTCCAGCTGAGGAACCAAGGTGAAATAAGTAACAAGGAAACAATAAGTCACTTTAATTTCCCAGTTGGAAAAAAAAAAAAAAAATGATGTCACTGATCATTTATTTATTCTAAATGTTCTCACCAGCCGCCACTGTTTAATTTCTTGGTATAAGTTCATATTCCTTCTAAAATGAAACATTTACTTAGTAGATAACAAACTAGACATGTAGACTGACATTAAGAGAGAAAAGTCTTTTTAAAATGCCATGCTGTGTAATAAGATAATGCCATCATTGTGAGAACATGCTGCTATATGAATGTTGTTAAGATGGCATTTTCAATCCTTAGATCTCATATTCTCCATGTCTTCACAATAATTGAGAGACGGCATGCCTAGCATCCAGGTCTGATGTCGATTTGCATATTTATAGACTATCTACCCTGATCTCAGACTTTTGTAACATTTTATACAGTTTTAAGTCCTCCAGGTAAATTCCAGTGTATTTGTATTTTGGATTATTCATAGGCCATCTGAATTTATCTGGGTTATGTTTTTCATGATAAGAATTCAACAATGGCCCTGGCCGGTTTGGCTCAGCGGTTAGAGCGTTGGCCTGCGGTCCGGAGAGACCCGGGTTCGGTTCCCGCTAAGGGCACGTACTTCGGTTGCAGTTTGTCCCCGGCCCTGGTTGGTCGTGCGAGTGGCAACCACTCGATGTGTTCCTTTCACATCGATGTTTCTCTCTCTCTCTCTCTTCCTCTCTCTCCCTCCCACTCTATCTGTACAAAAAATGGAGAAATGTCCTCGGGTGAGGATTAAAAAAAAAAAAAGAATACAACAATGTAATGGCTCAGGTTCTGGAACCCCATAAATAAAATGTAAGAGAGGGATTTAATTTTCGAGACAGTAACGAGGAGTTCCAGTGCTCCTCCCTCTGATACCTTTTATAAGAAAGCTAATTATTTTTCACTTATTACTATGGAAGCTGTGAAAGTCAGGTCATATATATTTGCATATGTTTTATTTTTTAATCACTTTGAGAAACTGCTAAGTTTTCTCCTTCAGAGAAAAGTCGAAGAGAAAGAAAACGAGGTCTGCTTTCAGCTAGCCCTACACAGTGTATGAGCTGGCTTTGAACTTGACCACCCTGGCGCTGGCACGGACTGTTGGTCTTTCATCTTCAAGAATCGGTGATGCAAGAGCACCCATTTTATTTCCATTTGCAGCACTCTGTACTTGGTTAACCCAAAAGGAAGTCAGGAAGACTGGAGCTTTTAAGACCAGCACAGGCCCAGAAGTATATATCACACATTGCTCTATGGTGTCGGATTCCATATTCCTAAATGTCCAAATAACCTTCAAATGTTTCATTGTCACTGTCATTTCCAGATGCTTTGGAGAGTCCTGTAAGTGTCCTTGATTGGACAGCTAGGTTTCTCATTTTGAAAGTCCTTATATGTGTTCATGAAAGAATAGCTAAGGGGCATGTAGCTAAATATAAGCTTTGAAAATTTCTTTTAAATAATTCTTATTTAAAAAGAAGGTGTTAACTAACCTTTTTAAGCATTATCTAGCAAGCACTTTTGTATTTTCCAAGTAGCAACTCATTTTTCCTGCATAAAAGCTCTCTGAGTAGTGATGATAATGATGATGATGATGATGATGATGATGATGTTGATGATGATGATGTGATAACTATCATCATCATCATCATCATCATCCCAATTTACAAGCGAGAAACTGAAGGAGAGAGCGTTCAGTAACTTGCTCAATTATTACACATGGAGAACTATATTAATGAAGAGCCTTTGAATTATTCTTAAGGGTTATGTTATCACTGGGTATCTTTATTATTATTATTATTATTCATTCAGAAGATATTTATGTAACACCAGGTACTGTGCCAGAGCAAGAAACAGAGCTATAAACATGATGAGTACCTTTGCAATGCCAAGCATCTGGCTAGACCACCATTGCCCAAATCCATATATGTATTAAATTATTACTTTATTAATTCAACTATATATTCAAGGTATTATCCAGCAAGCACCTTGTCAAATATCTTGCCTTTTGATAAATAATATTTGATACCTATAATATTTAATAATATTAAATAAAAATATTATATTTAATAATATTTCTACCTATTAAATAACCAGTAGGCATCTCCTATACAACTGTATTGAAATGCCATGGCTATGGCCTCTGCCTGCAGAGAGCTTCTGTTGGAAGCGTTGTAGTGATGGACAAAGGAGGTAGACACTGAAGATAGGGAGCTGGAGGACCAGAAACAGACCATTACTAGGTTAGACTTAATCCTCTACTAGAAATAGTGGGAGTTGACCTTTCTCTCACCCTCTTCTTTTGAAGATGGCTGCATTTGACAAATGCTTTTATCAAAACAATAATAATAAGTACAAGATGGCCTTCTGGTTTTAGAAATACCTACTTATGTTTAAATACCACAAGGTCAATTTTGCAATGCGTTTCTAACTATCTAGGTTAATTCTAGGAGCAAATTTCTTTCGTTGTTTTAAGCTGGTTTATCAAAGATGGGATTGTCATTGCGTTCAAACAATTTCATAACAGAGAGATGTGTGCAAATAACAGATGAGACGTGAGATTCTATTTGAGATGAAGCTCTCGACCGGGGAGGGGGGAGGGGGGGTCCCATGGCCACATCAGGAAAGTCATCCTTCAGGGCAGACCACTGAGTTCTAAGGCTTAGGTAAAGAATATAATGAAGTAAATTAATGGAGGATGAGAAGGTCTTTTCTGAGAATCTGCTTACTACACCACGTCATTCCCTTAATACTTGGACTTTTCTTTAAAATCAAAGTTGTATATGCAGAAAGACATCGCTCAACAAAACAAAGAACTCTAAAATGACATCGCGCTAATAAAATTGTTGGTAGTATATCATATAATAAAACTCTACAGTTTTGATTACAATATAATTAATGATGTTTTCAACTACACAAGCTTTTTAAAATCATTAGCTAGCCCTAGCCAGTGTGGCTCTTTTGGTAGGAGCATCATTTTATACACAAAAGGTGGCGGGTTTAATTCCAGGTCAAGGCACATACCAGGTTTCAAGTTCAGTGCCAGGTCAGGGCTCCAAAATACTGTATTTCTGCATCAGATACAAACTGTTGCTCCTATGACTAAAGAGGACTGCAGAGCCCTGGCCGGTTTGGCTCAGCGGTAGAGCATCAGCCTGAGGTCTAGAGAGACCCGGGTTAGGTTCCCGCTAAGGGCATGTACCTCGGTTGCAGTTTGTCCCCGGCCCTGGTTGGGTCGTGCGGGTGGCAGCCACTTGATGTGTCCCTTTCACATCGATGTTTCTCCTCTCTCTCTCCCTCCCACTCTATCTGAACAAAAAATGAAAACAAATGTCCTCGGGTGAGGATAAAAAAAAGAGGACTGCAGATTTCTAGAAAAGTTAAGACGTTGTCTACACTATGTATGGTTGATATACATTTTCAAATTGAGAGCACTTCAGCTCTTTGAAAAATAATTTGCTTGCACTTTTTGGAGATCTGGCTCTCTCTTTGCAGGCAGTGTGGTTTATTCAATACCATAAGAACCAGGAGTCAGGGGACTGGCTTTCTAGCCTTCAGTGTTACACTAGCAAGTCACATGTCAAAAGGCAAAGAACATAAGCAGTCTCTTTAATTTGTTGAGTTGCTTTTGAAATTGGGGGAGCAATATCTTTCCTATTTCTTATACTTGCAAAAATTCAACTGTCGAGATGCAGAAGTTCTTTGAAGAGAGAAATAGAATATACAGAAATACTGTATGCTTATATGGGGGATTTGTGAGTGGGTTAGTTTGTATAATATCAATATTCACTGGATTTCATTGCATGCTTCCCTGTATAATCTAGTATGTGCTTATTCATTACAGTTATATGTGTGCTTACTAACTAGGATATGTGTGCTTATTCTACTCTGCCCCATGGATTGAAAGAATCATTATACAGAGGACATGTCTTTATTGTACAGAGTCCTATCCCCGGCGTCTATGCACTGATGAGCATAGTAGGTGCTCAGTAAATAGCTGTCGGGTGAATGGAAGCATACCTCCTAAATGCACTGTGCATTGATAGTGTACACTTTTTCTGTATTTTTTTTCTTTTGTATTTATTCTTTAAGACTATTGGAATCAATGTTGTTTTGAGGTTTGTGTTGGAGAGCTTTTGGAATTCAGATATGCTGCAGAATCACATTTGGAAGTCATGTCTATGAGTATTCACAAATTGGTGACTCCCTTCTTAACAGTCACTTCTCTTCTGACTTGCAACCCAAATGCCTTGTCATTTAAATATCTTAGATGCGGGGCGGGGGAGAGTTTGATAGCATTCAGTGCTGCGCTGATAACTTCAGTGATTTTTCTCTTCTTTTGTCCCCTCTTAGAGAGCCGAATGTAAGAATATAAGAATGTTTGAGAGAGTGAGATTCATACTCAGATAAATCTCAGTCCAAGTCCCCAGCGATGCTGCTTCCTAGTTGCAAGACAAATGCAAGCGGTTCATTTCTCTCAGCCTCTGATGCCCCTCGGGGCCCCCATTGCCTTCCCTGCTGAGTTTGTTGTGGTGTCTGAATGTGGGAATGGACTTGAGGTACTCAGCCCGGTACCTTACATACAATAACGGCCTTTAGCTGTAGCTGCTATCATTTACACAGTTCATCTTCTAAACTTCATCCTGTCTGTTTTGTTTTTGTTTGTTTTGTGCATGTGTACACGTGTTTCCCTTACAGATGGGTATACAACTGATGACATTGAGTTTTACTGGCGCGGGGATGATAACGCGGTCACGGGAGTAACGAAGATTGAGCTGCCACAGTTCTCTATCGTGGATTACAAACTCATCACCAAGAAGGTGGTTTTCTCCACAGGTTTGTATCAGGGATGAGGGTTCAGGTAAAAGGATCGTCATCATTTTTTGTGAAAAGGGTTCCCTTATCCCAAGATTGGGTCCCAGGGAAGGATGGGGACTCTAGAAGGCTGAGATCTGCCGAAAACCCTCAGTTGCCCATCAAGCCCGTTGCTCATAAGCTACCCATCCCGTTACTTTCCTGAAGGCACCCCCAGCAAGCTGGGAGGGTTAGCTCTGTGCCATCTGCCAGAGGAGGGACTAACTGTTGGAGACAGAGTAGAGCAAGAAATGAAGACCTGGGTCAGCTGTTCCCCCAATTTTATGCATCTCCCAGAATTGATCATAATTCTTTCAGTTATGCGGGGGATCACCAAGTCACAGTTCACTCAAGTCTGACCATGATGACATTCTCTAAAGAGATTAGGATAGGAGGATTGCACATTTCCCTCCAAGGGCAGGGATTGCTTTATGTAGCATGACCTACACATTTTGAGCTAGAAACTCTTCCAGATCTTGAGGTTATCCTGATGCCTTCATCATCCTTACCCTTTCAGTATTGGGGTTTCAGGTTACCAAATTTGGTTTCATGAGCACAAAATTTTAACAAGAAAGCCCAACAAAGTAGTAATTTGCTACATCGTCATCAAGGGAAAAAATAATAATCCCAGAGGAACATCCCTCTTTATGTTTTCCTCATTGAAATCAACCCCCACACAGAAATAGCTAGTATTATAACTGTGAATTTTGAGTTTCCCCTCTGCTAAGGATTCGAGTACTTCCTCTCTCTGCAAACAACTTCAGGCAAGAGTTGCATGGCTTGGCCCTTGCTGGTTTGGCTCAGCGGCTAGAGCGTCAGCCCACTGACTGAAGGGACTCAGGTTCAATTCCCAGTCAAGGGCACATACCTGAGTGGCAGGTTCGATCCCCAGCCCTTATTGGGGTCATGTGGGAGGCAACCAATCGATATGTCTCTGTCACATAGATGTTTCTCTCTCTCTCTTGTCCTCACTCCCTTCTATTTTATCTTAAAAAAAAAACAAAAAAGTAGCCTTTTGCTTTAAAAAAGAACAATAATAACAGCAGCTTTTTCTAAGTGTGAAGTCTTTAAATCCCTGAAACTCTGTAGAAATGAATTCCTACTTAAAATACTCTCACTTGAATGTTAAGACCCGTGGTTTAGCCCACAAAGTCCAGACAAGGCTTTCTTTCAGTTAGTAGGAATATTCTTCCCAACCCTGACACTTTGTGAATCGTTCATGTTCTAAGACTGTGTTCTGTTACATATATTGTCGAAAGGGTAAATCCCAGATTACCACAAAGGACCCAGCTTCAGGAATGGAATCCTTTCATTATACCTCCCATAAATATTGCTCAGGAAGAGTGATTCTTCCCCTTTGAGTGGGTCAGGGATCCCTTTAGAACTTTGATGGATGCAGTGATTTTAGAAAAAATAAATAATGCGTACACATGAAAGCCTTCACAAAATTTCAGTGAGTTGCTGCATTACCTGAAGTAAAGCCATTGATCCCAGACTTGCAGTCATCCTGGGCTTTGTGAAGAGCTATTTTTCACTAGCGTCAGAGTGTACATCCGGATTCTTATATGCAAAAAAAAAAAAAAAAATCTTATTGGATGGACTTACTGAGAAACAATTGAGAGGGGACCAAGGGATTATTCCAAATTGTTTTGTCATCACTGTTGTAGAGAATGAGTATCTTCGATCCAATATATGAGGCTGAGCAGAGAAAACTGGGAATGCTTTTTATGACTGATGAGTATGGGATGTATTCAACATAGAGTAACTCCTGTTTATTAAAATTCCAGTGTTCTTTTGCAAAAAAAAAAAAAAGGCTCTTTACCAGGAGTTACAATTGAATTCGGGAAGATGTGCAAACTGTTTATGGGCCTTTAAAGGCAAGTATTGATTGATAATGATGATGCTCTAAAATTGCTTCTCTAGGTTCCTATCCCAGGTTGTCCCTCAGTTTTAAGCTGAAGAGAAACATTGGTTACTTTATCCTGCAAACGTACATGCCTTCCATCCTGATCACTATCCTCTCCTGGGTCTCCTTCTGGATTAACTACGACGCTTCCGCTGCACGGGTGGCATTAGGTAGGCCATTTCCTGTCTGCTCTCAGAGTTTGACGTGTGTGTGTGTGTGTGTGTGTGTGTGTGTGTGTGTGTGTGTGTGTCTGCAAATGCATTTTCCTTACCCTGGGATTTGTAACGCATGATGAAGCCAGACTGCACACATTACAAGGATTTGACTCTGAGACTTTGGGTGATCTGATTCAGCATTAAATCAATTAAACACATATTAAAGCTCTTTCATGTAAAAACTAGTTAACTAAATACCTGTTGGTAATGAAATTAGTCCCATCCGTGTGATATTTTTTATTGAAGCATGGTTCATGTAATATTGCTTGATAATTATTAAATTTGTATCTGTGCTGCCTTACCTGGGAAGACTTCCCTTTCATCTTTTTGTTTTCTGAGCAAGAAATGAAGAAATGTAGTGTGGAGCAAAGAGCCAGGCAGAAAGAATTCTAAAGTCTTAATGAATATTTTGGGGTAGCATGGCCGAGAGCAGGAGAAAACCAAGTGAAAATTTGGCGAAGTCATCTATGGCATCACTCATGCTTGATTTTTCTTAAATAAGGCCCGAGAAAGAGAATAAATTCTATTTCATGGACATTTTTATGTTGCTAACTCCAGATACAGTGAATTGATGATGACCTTTTACACAATCATTATTATTTTGAGTTCCAGCTAATTTCTTTCAATGTTGAAATGTTAACTCCTCCACCGTGAGATCTCCATTCCATTGTTACTTCCTCAGAGAAGGCTTTTATTTATTCATTCCACAAGTATTTGTTGAGCACCTGCTGTCTGCCATGCCAAGTACACTAGGCACTGGAGATGAAGCGGTGCTCTTCTGGAAGTTACGTTCCAGCCGTCAAAGACAGACAATACAGCGAACAACCATGCAAATTGTGTAATATGGTACGACTCTTGAGGGATATAAGCAAGGGAACAGGGAGGTTGGTTATGCCAGGGGTGCAGTTTAGAATAATCAGGGTAGACCTTATTCAGAAATTGTCAGTGGGACAAAGACAGGAAGAGGATGAAAAGGTACAGGTACCTGGATAAGACTGTCCAGCATGAGCAGGCAGCGAGGGAAATGCAGACTTCAGGAGTGGACAGTGTGTGTGAGTGGATGAAAAGATCAGGAAGGGGTCCTGGGGTCATAGCAAAGGCTTCCCTTTTATGCTGAGCCACACAATTAGAGTTATTGAGCAAAGAAGTGACATGATTTGATTTCAGTTTTAAAGGAATCACTTTGGCTGCTGTGTTGAGCTTAGACTGTGGTGGTTCAAGGGAGACATCATGAGCTGTTCTGAGTCAAGTCCCTGTGATTTAACCTTTTAAAGGACTATAGAACTCGCCTTTGTAGACCAACCATTACTATAATATATCTTTATTTGGTTGGGATTTCACTTTCCTCAGGGTACCGAAAGATCCTTTGGAGAAAGGCCCATATCTGATTTTGATGCCAGTATATCTGTGGTGTCTCTCATAGTGAATGATGTTCAGAAAATATTTGCTGAATAAAGGAAAGATTAAAATTTGTAAATATCTTATTATTTCAAAGTCAGCATGTTATCTATCTTATGTCTGTTATAGGAATAATAAGTAATTTATTTATTGTTTTAAAAATTATTTTATTTCATATTTTAATTTATATTTTCCCTTACCATTTATCCCCCCCATGCCCTCTTCCACCTCCAGCCCCACCCCCCACCCCCAGTCACACACTGTTATCCATGTCCATGAATTCTCTCTCTTTTTTTTATTTTTTGCTCAATCCCTCCACCCCCCATGTGAACAATTTATTACTAGGTCAGAAATGCCTTAATAGGAGATTTAGATAAGCAGTAAAATCGGCATTGTCAGTTTTATGATATGCATGTCATAAAGGTTCATTTGTAGTTGACATAAAGAAGAAAAAAAACGAAATTGGGAAATGTTTCCAAAAGGCTAATATTGCAAAAAAACATGAGAACTGTAAGACACCTAGCCCTATAGAAGCAAGACCGGGTTTTTCTGGCCATGCTCAGCAAATTTATGCTTTCTCTATCTGTTTTAGGAGCGTGTATAAAAACAAGACAAGAACTGCAACCTTATTACTGAGAGAAAATTTATCAACAGACTTATGTTCCCAAACCATAGAAATGAAACTTAACTTGTGGGGTGTGTGATTAGGTCGTGTTTAGGAACACAGTTTTCTGAGTCAGAGAGATCCCAGTTCACGTGTTGACTATCTAACCTCCCATCGGTGTGATCTTGACTCTGAGTTCCATTTTCACAAAGCTGGGACTTATCATACTCGATTATTTTATTTCCCCTTCGTAACACATTATTTTGAAAAACTCTTAAGGAGTATTCCTGTCTGGTATGCTTCTCTCTACCCCCCACAGCTACCACAGTGATGATCATAAACACAGTCTGTCCCTCCATCTCCCTGCTTCAAGCTGGTCGGTGGTCCCACAGCGCCTGTAATCTCAAGTTCAGACCCCTCATTAGGGCCTGTATCGACGGCTCTCCATTACGTGGTGGTTACCGAACCCTCCCTCTCCTCTCCATTCTTCTCGTCACATCCTCATGTGCCCACGTTGACTTTCTGAGAGTCTCTGGGCGAGCCGTATACTTTCATGCCACAAAGCAAAGCCTCACAGACAGCTCTCCCCACCACCCGTGCCCGTAGGTCTGACTTCACTGTCGACCTTCGGGCCGTGGTTGCCCACGTGACTCCCGTGCATTCTCCAAAGCGCAGCTCCAAAAGGCCCTCGCCTGCCACGTGACAGGGCTAGTTGGCTTTTCTCCCTATTCTCGACACTCAGCCTATACATGTGTCTAACACAGCAGCGTTTAACTCACTTTTCAACCCTCTCTCCCTGGACATAGAACGAGAACTATAAAAGTATAACTAAAGAAAGGCTCAAGATAATTAAGGTTTGCTACAAACCGATGATGCATGCCCATGCCCAGGGCCTGTCGCAGAGCCGGTGTGCAACAGGTGCCTGGTAAATGTTCGGAGGCCTACGTGGACGCCTGAAGCTCAGTCATCTTTCTGGCTATAATGAGCGCGGCAAGGACTTAGGAGCTATGTTATTCTAACTCCCATTCATTCATTTTCTCCAGGAATTACAACTGTCCTGACAATGACCACCATCAACACCCACCTCCGGGAGACTCTCCCGAAAATCCCCTATGTGAAGGCCATTGACATGTACCTAATGGGGTGCTTTGTCTTTGTTTTCATGGCCCTTCTGGAATATGCTTTGGTCAACTACATCTTCTTTGGGAGGGGACCCCAACGCCAAAAAAAAGCAGCCGAGAAGGCTGCTAGCGCCAACAGTGAGAAGATGCGCCTGGATGTCAACAAGGTAAATGCTTCTTAAACTCAGGGAAGAATGCCAGCAATATAGATCAGAGGTCTGGTTTAACCAGTGAGGACACCAAGGCTGGGGAAGGGGGGATAATTTTCCCCACGTCATAAAGCTCATCAGGATCAATTACAGCCCACACCCTGGACACAACGTTTAGATGTCCTTCACCTTCACAGGAGGTTTGCCCAAACCAGAGTCATCTGAAAACCACCTTCATGACTTTCTCAGTATATGGGCATGATGTGTGTGCTATTATTTACTTCATATTTATTTCCATTTACTCACATTATTTGAATTTATTTTGAAAGGAAGTTTCCTATCACATAAGTCAGTGTTACTTGCAGAAAGATAATCTTAAGTATAAATAAATATAATGCAATTATGCTATTAAATCCTAGGTTATACTAGATGAAGGCTCTCGACCTGAGCTCTGCATGTTCTTGGAGTTAGAAGGGAGATAAGCAAGTGCAGAGATGTATTTGAGACCTACCAGCAGCAAACGGAGACTTTCTCCTTGAAGTCATCAGGATAGAGAGAGGAGTGGAGGAAAGAAAAGAATCATTTTCTCCTTAAGTGACAGATAATTACCTAATGCCTGGCACATGTACCACTTAAAATCACTGAAGCATTTGCCTATAGGAGGCCTCTCTCTTGCTTAAGTCAGGCACAGGCAAAGCATCGTTCCCACACAGCTGTAAACCTGGTTCATTCTGTAAGGCAATGCCCTCAGTCCTTGCTGCCTAATTGAATGACTGGGGCGGCAGTAACAGTGCTGAAGTCTGGGTTTCTTCCCCAGAAACTCGGATTTGATCGTCCTGGGGTGTGCCTGAGCATCATAGTTCAGATGGAACTAGGAAGACAATAATACCTCTCAGCCATCCGGAATTATTAACCATACCACTAAGGACTTAATGGACATTTTAATATTGAACATCAATTTAATTCCAAGGAAACCACACCATGAAGAACGTCTACCATCCAGTTTCATTTGGAGCAAATCCAGTGAAACCCTCTGACTCACTGATGTTTCCGCATATCCACAGGTCCGATAACTGATGGACTATTTGCTCATCATAGGCACCCCTTGGCAAGGAGACATTATTTGTAACATTGCAAATCTTAAGCATGGCCCTTGAAAACCAGTGACCCACGGGTCTGGGGAACTGTCCATTTCTTTCTAGTGTCTGGGGTTTCACTTATTGAAAACTGTCAGTAGATTCCAACATAGCATTTTGACTCTCTCAGGCTGTCCAATGAGACGGTGCTATTTAAGACCATTTTTGATTTCCCCGTACAGTGGCCTTCATATAGGAAAGAAAGGGAATAAATAAATAAATAGAAGCTGTCTCCTAGGACTGCCATTTGAAATGAGTCTAAATCAATTGCTTAGTGCACGGCTGCCTTAATACCGTCTGACCTTTATCCACTGTCATCTGTCCAACTTTTTCATACCAATTTGCATTTAAATGACAAACTTAGGACCCAGAGAGTGGCAGTGTGACAGCAAAGTGAGCCTGGAGAGCTTCAGCTAGTTTCAGATCCCCTGTGCTGAGATGGAGGGGCCCCATGGTGAGGAAGGAGCCCATCCTCTTGGCCGACGTTGGACCCGCAATTTCAGAACATGAAACAACAGACGTACCTAGAGTTCTTCCAGCCCAGGGCTGCTCAAAGCACGGGCAGACTTGCCCCCAGAGGATGGCCACGTCTGTAGCTATCATGTGTTGTCAAAACTGGGGGGAGGGGGGGTTGCTTCTGGTATCTAGCGGGTAGAGGCCAGGGATGCTGCTGAACGTCTACAGTGCCTGACACAGCCTCCCTATAACAGGATTGTCCCTGCCAGAATGTCACCATCACTGAGCTAAAAACCTCCGATCTAGTCCAAGTCCCTGGTTTTAAACATGAGAAATGGAGGCCCCAGAAAGAGTAAGATGTTTGTTCTGGTTTTTAAACTCTTTAGGACAAGTGGTTTCTCCACTTTCTGTCATTAGAAAGAATAGCATCAGGACCTCAGGAGTTGTCATCTAGCACGTTACCAAAGAAATAGCGCGGGTCAGTCCGGTCCCAGAGTTACTCTCCTTCGGATAGTTGTGTGACAACAGGTGAAAAAAAAATCAGCCTCGCTCACCTGCAGTTTCCTCGTCCGTAAAAGAGGGTTCATTCCTCTTTCATCGGTTTTTTATGAAGACGATTTGTGTAATGTGTAGAGAGGGCTAACATCGTGTTCGGTACCTGATAAGCACTCAGTAAGTGGTAAATATTAATAAAATAATGAAATATTAAAAACAGTAAGCAATATTACTTTCTAAAATAAAATGTACAGCCCCCAGACCTATTAGCAAGGCGCGCTTGTGTATTTCACAGGAATAGCATGTAGGATGCGACCCACCCCTAACGCAGGGAATTTCAGGGCAGAGGTGGTTAAGGCAAAGCAAGGAAACCCTTTTTCAACAGGTATCAGCTTTAAAATTTATTGCAAATGAACTACTTCAAACGTCATTGGTTATTTTACTAGGTCAGAATACTTAGGGCTGCCTTGATGAGATTAAAACCCAGAAGGGGCCACGGAGCATTTCGGACGCCCATGGTTTCCTTTCGACCCCGGCATGAAAGGTTAGGGGTGACCCCCCACATTGGGTGCTGATTGCACAGAGCTTGCTTCTGTGTGAGCACCATGAATAATGCCTCCATTTTTTATCAAGAATGTCTCTTTTGTCCCCCTGTGATTCTTTAGTCCCCCCACTAAAGGTTGGGCACGTATAATCAACTAAGTATTGTTGGCTGCTCTGGAAAGATCAGTAGGGAGGGGACTGACTTTTTCATCTTCCTTTTGATGGTTTCCTAGAGGTGGAAGCGGTGAGTCGGGTCATCCAAAGTGATTTTTATAGTGTGCTCTCTGTCCTGAGGTCAGGGAGGAGGGGCGCCTGACTCACGGGAGCCCGCATTGCTGCCCAGCATGCTTCCTAGTCTCCTGTCTCGTCTCTGTACTCATTTCCCTAGGGCTTCGTTCTAACAAGAGTGTCTGCAGCTCTTAGTACAGTTCTGATCCTGTCATCTCACGCAAAAACTAGAACTCGGAAGGAAAGGCAAAGATTCAAGGTTGCACAGCAAAGCGCACAAGGTTTCTGAGGCTTGAGTTGGGTTTTCCAGGCCCTATCCAGGGGGTGGCCACTGTGCTAACCAGTGAAAAATAATGTTGAATTAAAGAGCCGATTCCACATTAGGCTAGAGATCCATTTCACCAGAAAAACGCACCTGTCTACACATGAGGGTCCATGACTGACAAGAAATGTCACTTTCTTACTTGCCTTCATGTGACAAATTAAATTGTAAAATACTAAGATTTTAAAAATAACCTCAACCAACAAGAGATCTACTGAACATTTCTTTTTCCCAGGTATCTTCTGGAATAGTAAAAAAAAAAAAAAAAAAAAACATCTCCACCCTGATGTTAGAGTCCTTCCTATTATCCCTTGCACTCTTCTGTGTGTGTGCGTGTGTTATAGAACTCGCTTTGGATTAATTTTAACCACTTTTCTTGCTTATGCCTTCAAGGTTTCAGCTTTCTTTTCTTTTTTTAATTTAAGCTTTATGTTGTTTTCTTGTTTATTTTTCTGCCAATAACTAAGTATATACAAATTTGAGAATGTAGTTACTCCTGCCTTTCCATCACATTGGTTCTTGCACATCTGAAATGCCTCCAATATCTTGATTGTTGAGCGATCCATAACCACCAGTTTTCAAAAAAAAGCTGCACTGAAAATACTTCTACGTGGGGGCATTCCTCATTCTGCATTCATGGGTGTTGGCTCTGTATTGTCTTTATCCATTGTGCCTAATTGTGTGTTATACAAAGCTGCTGAGATGTTAAATCTATGTATTTCTAGTGCTTAGAATTATTTTTAAAAAACATTAAAAAGATACAACTCATGAGAAGTCCTATGCTCTGTGATCATCAGTCTTTCTAAAGACCAGTAGCATTTATCTATATTCAAGTTACTTTAACCACTGGTCCTTATCTGGTGGCATCAGTCGACTTAATTAGCACATTCTCTACTTTGTCTTCCAGATTTTTTATAAAGATATTAAACAAAATGGGACCCAATATCGATCCTTGTGGGACCCAACTGGAAACTTCTCCCCAACTAGACGGACTACCAATTACGATTTCTCTCTATATACGGTTAGATAGCCAGTTTTTAATCCATTTATTTGTATTTCTGTTGGGGCCAATCTGTTTCCTTTAAAATAATTGTATGCGGTCTTGGCAGATAACCTATGGACTTATATCCACGGAGACGTGGAGATAAATGTTTTTGTGAGACCCTACTGGGGTTTACCCGGGTTTGCTTTTGCAAAATACAGCTATGATGAATCTAAGCTGCAGGTTCCATTCGGTCATGATTGTTGTGCTAGAGAAAGAAACCAAGGGGATCACGTCCTGACATTCCTGTCCCCATGTGCTGAGAGAACAGAGTATCGCCCCCACTCTGCCATCCCTCAATGTTCTTGTTTCTCTCGGTTAGTGGGAAAGGTGGAGACGTGTACATCTCTTCTGTTAATGGGCTCAGAGGTCAGGAACCTGATTTCTGTCCTAGATGATTAATCTGTGTCTAGGAATGTTATGTTTGCATCAAGTCCTTGTTGCCTGATTGTCATTTATTGTACAAATCAATATTATCTTGGCAGACCCAGAACTTTTTTATTGATGGAAAAGGAGGCAGTCATTGAGATTGTTCTTCATCAAAACCCTTAAGTGAAATTTTCCAAAGAAAGCCTATTTTTGGTTAATACTTAGGGGTTTTGTTGGTGAATCATCACATTTGCAATTCGTATTTGGCAAATGATCATTCATGTTGGCCTCTGTCTTGGAGGAGAAGGTGGAGGGTTGTCACCATCCCACCTTATCACACACTACTTGTCCAACTCCAGGTTTTTAAAATGTGGTTTCTTGGTGAAGCAGTGAATGTTAAATCCTTGTGTGGCTTTCTTAGGAGGGC